GTCAGGTACATACCTGACTTTAGTCAATAACCTTATTGGCTCATCATGAAGCTTGAATCTCATAGATCCAATACCTGCAATTTTGCAAGATTTGTTGTTTCCCAACAACACAGATCCACCATCTTGATCACATAGCTCCTCGAACAATTCACTGTTTGGAGTCATGTGCCAAGTGCAACCTGAATCCATAATCCGCTATTTTCTCGAGTCGTCACTTGAAACCACAAGAACATTAGATGAGTCAAAGTCATCTTGAACAATGGTTGCATTGCCATTACTTCCATGATCTTTCAAGCATTCAGGGCACACCTTTCTTGTGTGACCCTCCTTCTTATAACGATAACATTGTATACCAGATGTTTCGCCACTATAAGATATTTGTTGACTTTTACCTTTCTTCTTGTCGAACTTACCATCCTTTTGCAAGAATTTTCCCTTAACGGCCAAACCTTTGCCCACCGTCGAAGGTTTATGCTCCTTTCGTTTTTTCAAGTCCTTAGAATACAAGGCTGATTGAACTTCTTCAAAGGTCAGGGACTCCTTTCCATACAAGAGAGTTTCTTTGAAGTGAGCATGTGTTCTAGGCAAAGCACACAACAACAATAATGCTTGATCTTCATCATCGATCTTCACATCAATATTTTCAAGATCAAGAATCAGCTTGTTGAACATATCCAACTGCTCAGCCAACACTTTGTCTTCACTCATCTTGAATGAATACAAAGCTTGCTTCAGGTAGAGTTGATTCACCAGAGATTTGGTCATGTACAAACTTTCAAGTTTCACCCATAATCCCAATGTTGTAGTCTCCTTGATACCTCTTGAAGAACCTTATCACCAAGGCTCAATAGTATTGCGCTGTGGGCTTTCTCAATCATGCCCGTCTTTTCTTTTGCTGTTAACATAGTGTCCATGGCTACCTCTCCCTTCAACGCTTCCAAACAACCCTACTGAACTAGTAGGGCTTTCATCTTCAAGCGCCACAAACCGAAGTCGTTCACTCCGGTGAACTTTTCAATCTCATACTTTGTTAAAGGCATCTCCTCCACGCTCACCACACCAATTTGTTATGAATCGGATGTCTTGAAACAAAGTATAAACGGTTTCTTTATGATCAAGAAACACACAAGGGTTAGGGTTAACAAAGAAAACAAGGTAAAACAACAAAGTTTGGTTATAAACTGCTATTCTTTCCTTTATCTTAGAAACAAGATTACAAGTATACAAGAATAACAAAATAATCTCTCTCTCTTGAAATTAGGATTTTATCTTCATACTTTTCCTTATGTCAAGGCTGAGAAACTAGCATCCTATTTATAAGAAAAATAACAGACTAACCTAATGGGCTTTTTAACAATTATCCATTACAAGCTAACTTAAACACTTGGGCTTACAAGCAAGACCCAATCCAATATGCTAAAAACCTAGCAATATTGACTAATGCATGTTAAAACAAACTTCGACTACAGTACACGTTACTCCGACATCAGCATGTGAAAAGACTTCGACCTCACGCTTAGTTCCTGTCGAACCAGAAGCTACCATTCGACCATACTAGAGTTCGATCCAATATCTCACAATTTTTATATAGGTAAACATTTTTTTCTCCATTATGGCATACTCCTTTATAGCATCCCTTACCATATCCTTTGTGTTAAATCTCATTCCTAACTCAAACTTGGTTCCCTTATAGGTTGGGAATCTCTCATAGTCGTCATCATTTTCACTCTCATATGGGGTTTGAAGTTGGTCAGAATCCTCCCCATTGTCAAAGTCATTCAGAACTGGTTTAGTTGTATTTTTAGGTAATACAGTTGTCCAATCTAACTCATGGTCACTACCCACTTCATCATCCCCCTTTAAATTCATTATCCACTTCAACATTTTCTCCATCCACTTTAACATCCCCTTCAAAATCATTATCCACTTCAAAATTTTCTCCATCCACTTCAACATCCTTGTCCACACCAACTTCATCATCCACATCAACATCCTTGTCCACACCAGCTTCATTATCCACTACAACATTCTTGTCCACACCAACTTCATTATCCACTACAACATCCTTGTGCACACCAACTTCATCATTCACCTCAACATCCTTGTCCACACCAACTTCATCATTCACATTATCATCCTTGTCCACACCAAATTCAACATTCACCTCAACATCCTTGTCCACCCCATCTTCATCATTCACTTCAACAACATCATCATCAGAAATTATTTCATGCCCTATTTGTGTCTCTTCTACAATGTTAGGTTCACTAATGTTATGCTCAACATATAAATCTACAATTTCACAACCATCAATATCTCTTATCATTTGCAACACATCATGTTCACAATTAAGTGTTCTAAGGCCACGAGTAAAGCTCATCCTAGGGGTCAAATACCAGATACACTTAATGTCTACATATTTCTCTTTCTTAATCAACTCCAACAGTTCCGTGTAGGACACGTAGTCAACATCTCATTTCTAGTTCATTTTTGACACAAACCCAACAACATACAATCTCACAAGCTTGTCAACCAGTCTAGCCCCATGATGAATCCTAAACCTAATGGTTTGACATTTGGTTGGCCTGTATTAGTTGAGACATCTTAAAGTCAGAATGGGACCACAAATAAGACATTAAAAAAGAAGAACGGTAGGACCACAAACCCTAAAAGATAAAACTACAGAAATCATAAAACACAAAGGGACCACCTTGTACATTAAAATAAGCATACAACCTATACAAAACTACAAAAACCCTAAAATGCAAAGTCATAGAATAATACGTACTTGAGACAAAATTTCACCCCTTCTTTGCTTTTCTCGGTCGAAGCGGAATTCTCCATGGCTAATGATTAGAAATTTCCACCCTTCTTGAAGCTTGATGATGCACAATTATGGAAGAATGGAAGAATGATTGAACGATTATGAACAAGCGAAAATTTAATGTTTAAAATTTGGGGATTGTGAGTTTAGGGTTCTTCAATAATATTTGGGGATTGTGCGTTAGAATGAAGGGAATATTTCATTCTCTTATAAATATTAGACATATATTATGTTAAATTAATAAAATAAAGTTATGTTAAATTATTAAAATAAACTCAGAATTAACATGATATTATAATGATGTGGCAAAAAGTTTTTCAAACTTAGTCAAAATAATTGTTACCATGTCATAACTAAGACTGCCACATAGGCAAAATTGAGAAAGGATCAAAATAATCTCAAAAATAATCAAAAGAAGAAACCTAATACTTAGCTTTGTTTTAAGGAAATTAAAAGTTGAGAAAAATAAATAAACGGGATTAGAACTGCATTTAAGCATAACTTTTTTTCAACCTCTGATTCTTTAAAAAAATAATTATAATAATTTAGAGTTCAGTCTCAAAGATACGTGTACTTGCTGCCAAACAATAATATATATATATATATATATATATATATATATATATATATATATATATATATATATATATATATATATATATATATATATATATATATATATATATATATATATATATATATATATATACTCAAATCATCGTACAAAAAATAAAAAAATTATATGTCATTACGATTCTATAGATATATGTACAAAAACACTTTAACATATAAATTAATCTCTTATATTTTATTTGAATGAAAATTTATCTCTTCTTAAACAGGATTGCTATGTTGACACCATTTTCTACACCTTACACCCAATTCACTGTTCACAAATATTTGGCCAAATTCTTCAGAATATGGTTAATAGTGTGTATTTTATTGGTTAATGAAGCAGTGAAAGTGGTTAATAAATTATAGGTAAAATAATTGGTTAATGATGTAGATTTTTGTGGTTAATGCAACTCTGAAGTTGGTTAATGCACAATACTATATTTGTGTTATAAAATAAATTTTAAAAATAAATATTTTTTTTTAAAAAAATTAATATTTTAAAAAATATATATTATTTTAATAAAAAAACACTGTTCACCGTATAAATACGGTGAACAGTGCATACGGTGTAAGTATTTGATGTAAAAATGGGTGTAAGAATATCATTTTTGCTTCTTAAATTACAAGTTGAAAATACTAAATGAAATTTACCAGAAACTTGAAAATATCTAGATTTAACAATGAACAAACAAAAGAAAGGAGGTTTTGATAAAACAGAAAATAAGGAGAGATTCAGAGAGGGTTTGTGTTCCGGTGTGGGCCTCACCTCGGCAGGCCCAATACCAAATACGGCCCAACAGGCGAACTGGGCACACCTGGCACACGCCCCGTCGGACGAGCAGGACCGTCCGCCGGGCACAAGCCATCACGCCGCATCCCCTTCGTCGCCCGTCACACCAGACGAGCGAGACTACCCGGGCTCCCTCCGCGGGAGAATAACGTGCTCGGCGCACGTTATCCATACGCTTCCCTCCGCGGGAGAATAATGTGCTCGGCGCACGTTCTCCACGTGCTCCCCTCCGCGGGGACACGTCATCGGCCAACCGCCCACCTCCGAAAGAGCAGGTCAAACCCACTTTCCGGAGACCTAGGAGCGGTTGAACTAGGGCGAAGACCACGTCCTGGTCTTCACTACGCCACGTAAGCCCTAGCAGTCATTAGGGTTGGGCCTGGTCGTCTGGCCCACCTCGAATGACCGTTGGCCCAGCGCTGGGGTCTCTCTATAAATACCCTCTTCTTCAAGAGGGTCAGGTAACTCTTCTTGCCCCCCTTTTCTGTACTATTGCTTCCTCTCTGTCCAACTTCTTACTTGGGCGTCGGAGTGCTTTGCAGGTACACCCCTTCCTCGTTCTTACCTCGGCGAACAGATAACCGTCCGGCGAAGCGTGGCCAGTCCGTGATCCCTCCTGATCAGGTCAGATCAGTTTGTAAATAATTAAACTGCGCTTTTGAATTACGGAGAATAAACGCGAAGAAACGGAAAGTGGTGCCAAGGGTATGAGTTCGGGTTGTGTAATTTCTGTTGTTATTGCTGAATGCTAACTTTATTTACGAAGAAGAAATGAAGAAAGACGCTAGAAACGACGAATCAGAAGACCCCAAACTCTGGGGAGCGGTTTTGTTCGGCTTAATTGGCGCCACCGCCACCACTCTCGTCGTAAGCTACTTCGATTCGATTTGATTTTCTCGTTCGATTTTAGGTTTTTTTGATTAAGAACAATATAATTGTAATTACAATTTCAATTTTATCCTAATTTGAATTTGCAGTTCGGTCAGCTACGAAAGACTGCTGAATGGCTCTCTCTGGTAATTCACTTGCTTCTATTTTATTGCCAATGAAAATCAGTTATTGACTAATCGATTTGTGTTTCCTGCACTAGAAAAGTGTTTTTCTGATCTTATGTTATTTGAATGTATGCTTTTAATGTTGATTTTGTGTGTGTGGATATTTTGCTGAGGAATCTAGGTTTTTAGGTTTTTCATTTTTTTGAATTATGTTTGAAGTATGAGAAAGAGATGAATGGTGAAACTGATTGTGTATGGTTTTGGATGTAGCTATCTAGGTCTCAGGCATGGAAAGGAAAAAGTGGTAGTTCTTATAGAACAGCTTTTCAGGAAGAGGCGTGGAGAAAACATAATAAACGAATGCAAGAGGAGTATGAAGAGGAGATGGAGAGAGTTGTGAGTTTTCTTTCTTCTTCTGTTTATTTGGCTGGGTTCGTAATAGTCATTGTCGTCATGATCAAGTGAAATTTTAGTACTGTTCAAATTTTAAATGCAAAGGTTTATTTTGTTGCAGCTGTAATTTTGTTGAAATAACTAGAGGTAGAGACAGACTTAAAAAAACTATAAGAGAAACTATTAAGAAAGATTTCGAGATTAGTGAATTTGATAGAAACATGGTTTTTGATTGAACTCTATGGCGGAATTTGAACCATGTAGCCAATTCCAGTTAATAAGATGTTGTTGTTGTTGAGCCAGAAAGAAATGCAATATTTTGTTTGAGCTCTGGTGATCTAGAATAATAAACTTATTGGGGACTCCTTTAGGGAAGAGTACTCCTTCATGTGACAAGAAAAATAAACTTAAAGTACTATTTTAGGAAAAAATATTTCTTTCTTAGTGAGTTTTAGATACTGATATGAATTAAGATATTATTACATAGAAATTGGGGAAAATCCCCTTTACAACTTTGTAGAACTTCGAGGGCTTGCAACCTCCATGCTTTATGGCACCAATTCCCTTATAAAGCACTTGCCATCCTCCCCGATTGGACCCTTGTTATTATATAAACACCACATCCCACCTTTTTAACTATTTTCAGCTAACTAATTAATTGATGTAACTAATAGTATTGTCCTCAAGGAAAACATAATAATAGATTAAATAGTACCCCTCCAAGGTCCCACTGTAGCTGGAGTGAGATATCAGTCTGTTGTAGAGTTGAGTCCTTTTTAACTCTCTCAACTTGAAAAGGGATAAAGTAAGTATACCCTATTATGACAGGAAACAAAAGCTATTGCATCCCCATATCAACCTTTACACTTATTTATGACCCATTTTTTCCTCACAAATTTGTGCTTGGCCCAATAGCTCAAAAACCTGTCACCTTAATTTTGGGTGCAGTTGCCTAATTTGCTTCCACCATATATAGGGCTCTCCTTGTGTTCTTTGCAAAAAAAGTTGGTATATGCAGGGTATGCACCATTTCTACTACTATCTCCAAAATGGAAATAGTTTCCTAATAACATACAAGTTATTAAAGAGAAATTTCTAAAAATGATGAAAGATCTCTTAAATAAGCGAGAACCAAAATTCTAAGAACTGCATAATAATCAGTGTTATCAAATATCCGCCATGGTGGCGCTGTGGCGGAGATACATGGCGGTTTCTGAGCTATCTGAAATGGTAAATATCGGCCGATATTGTGGGTTTTTCCACCATAATCTGCTATAACTGCACCATGAAGCAGCCGGTATGGCGGGATTTTGGCTCTCTGCCATGGACCGCAATCTGTCATCAACAACACTGATAAGAATTCCTAAATAGAACAGCAATATATAAATATGCTCCACTACTCTGAATCACTGTGATTTTCCATCTGCTCTTTGTAGGAACGAATAAGACGTATGCAAAACGTGTTTAACAGAGAAAGAAATAAGTACAAAAGAGGCTATGAAAGCTGGAAGGAACAGGGTCCTAGCCCATATCATCAACATTTCCAAAGAGAAGATTGGTATTGGAAGACTGATACTTCATACAAAGACAGGAGAGCTAATTATCGAGAAACACCAAGAGAGAGCAGAAATTATGCATTATCACATCACTACTCAGTTTTGGGTCTTGACAGGTACTAACAGAAACCTAAGACAATGGTCTATCTAATTTGTGGCTTCAGAGGAAATATTTTGGTATGTTTACATATATTACTTGAGTAAGTACAAGATAACTGCTTGTATTATAGATTATAGAAGATAAAAAACAAATAAGAACCGTGTTGGTGAAGAAAATGTCTTATACTCTATGGGTGGATAACATGCTTATATGGTGAATCCAGAGCAGTCAATTGCCTTTCTAATTTTAAACAGTATGCACTTTAGACCTAAAGAAGTATTTGATTTTAATACCGAGTAATAGTTGCTACTAGCTTAACAGAATGGAGTTTCCAAAATTTTGCTTAAACTGTAACTTTGTAAATGCTTGAAGACATGTACATGATTGTGTCCTATCTGCAAGTGAAGTTAGCATGTTTTTTTTGCTTTCATGATTAGCGATTAACTTTAACTTTCTGGTGAACCTCAGGTTTAGGAAAGCACCATATTCAGATGCTGAAATTAAGGTAACTTCATTTTCCCACGGTGCCTGCACACTACTGTTGGTGATTTGCTATATTTTGTCTATAAATTGCTATGTGCATCAAGCTCATCATGATGCAAGTGTTTCATCTCATTTTACTTTGGTGTCTTTGATATGACCACAACTTTTCTGTCTTTGATGTGACCACAACTTTGCTGTCTTTGATGTGACCGCAATTGAAGCTTCCATGATACTACGTCTTAGATTGTGTGTTTGAGCAATATTCTTGAACTAGTTTCATAATTATTCTTTTGTAGAGTAGTAAAATCATATGATTTGTGTTCGATGTAACTTACAAGCCTGCCATAATTTACTTACATATTACAACTATTCTCCTTGCTAGAGTGCAGTGTTCCATCTTTCTCATACAGTATTCTAGTGACTTCTATTCTGATTTGATGTCCTGCAGCGTGTTCTCCCTTCAGATTATTATTCAGTATTTTCATTTATGTTGATACTGTATCTCATTATTTTGTTACTTTGTTTTGCAGTCAGCATTTAGGACAAAGGCAAAGGAGTATCATCCTGATCAGAACCAGGATAATAAAGGTAGGTCTTGACTTATTATCACTGTATAAGATCTTGTTATCTCAAACTTTGGTATTATAAATCACATAATCATGTACGAGGAAAATGGCAGACGTTGCTGAAGCCAAGTTCAAAGAAGTGATGACTTCATTCGAGGCTATAAAACAGGAAAGAAATAACCAAAATCTGTAATTTTCAAACTCTGCCCGTCAGTCCTAGGACCGGAAAGGATGTGAGGTATTCCAAGTAATTAATAAAGTTCATTTAATTTTTATCCAGATAAATTATGAATATGCTGCGAATAATTTTTCTGCAATCATTAGAGGTTATGGTACTTTTCTGTGTTTAAGAAATTCATCTAGTTTTTTAGTTAATTAGAATTCCAACCACGTACGTAATGCCTCTGTATTATGGCCTTAGTAGATTCTAGGGGGTTGCGATCCCATAATAATTCACATACTATACATAGTTGGAGCTCTTCATTCTACGCAAATTATTTTCTCACACAATTTCATTATTATTGCTACATATAATGTTGGATACAATTTGCTTGTACTAGTGCTGTCTTTGTCAAACACTTGATTAGTCACATCTCTTATACGTTTGTTTAACCAAATTGTGATCCTATTTTTACAAGGTCGGCCTTTACCGGGAGGGGGCAATGTTGGTTTATAAGGCACTCTCCCGATGGGTTTTAACTGCCGCTTCTATTTCTCATTTGTTTTTAAAACCAAATATTAATTAGACAAACTACTTGTATGATCTTTAAACTGTTTTAAGTTATGTATTAGATTCGTTCAAAGCTTAGTTGTTATTGTTTATCAATTAAAATTAAAATGTGTCACGTGTATTAGTACACAGTTCATGTGCTTTATTCTGATTGTAAACCCGTAAAAACAACCCATACAAAATCACGCCTAAGTTTTGTCCATTAAATCCCTAAATGCATTTTAGTTTGAGTAAATGCAGAAAAATAATATTTTTTATGGTAATAAAGAGAAAGTTATGGTAGTTTCCTTTGGTTAGTTTTTTTATATTTGCGCCCCTTTTTCTGGAAATGAAGCTGTGGATTATATTTGTGCCTAAAAGAGTTGAAATTTCAGTTTTATACTTATGATTATATACTGTGATAGCAGTTTAATTGTTTTTCTTTATGCTTCAATGAACAGAATTTGACAATTAACAGACGTGATTTACTCGTCCGAGCTGTACAAAGAAAATCTGGTAATAATATTAAATTGTATTCATTGAGTGGCAATGTCACTACCATGTTTGAACGCCGCAGCAAACATTCAAGGTTGAATATGGAAGCCATAGACAGAGATGGACAATTAAGTGTTGTTTAGAAGAGTTTATTTTATGAGATAAACATTTGTATAACATAGGTGTTTGGAAGAACTAATAGAATATAGCTTATGATATGCTCATAAGCAATTTTCAATGTACTTTTATAAATTTCCCAAAATAGTTCATAGAAATTATACATGGCTTCATTTTCTCTTTGATTGTAAAAGCAACATAAATTTAAGCACTTTTATGATTAATTACATTTTATAGAATGAGAATTTAATTAAATTGTGCGATAGTGAGTTTTGGTTTTTTCTCCATGAGAATTTTTTTTTATTCCTTAGAGCATCTTTAATGGGAGTAAACTAAATGGATAAACTAAGATACTTTTTGTGGGCCCAAAGTGATTTGTAGGATTTAAAAAATTTATAGTTGATTTGAGTAGTTTTTACTTTAATGGTGGTTGTCTATAAGAAATCAAAATTTGACTCCATATTTTATATTTTTTATTCAAATTACCATTAATTTAATTATTTTAATTAAAATACATATAATTTTTTAAATAAAATTTATCTTAAAAACTTAAAAATAATATTAAATATATTTTATTATAAAATTAAAAATGATACAAAATTCACAACAATAATACATAAAAAAAATTACATTTTCATAGGAATATAATTATAATAAGGATTCGATTGGTTGAGATCTATTTGATAAATAAATAAGATTGAAAATTGAAAGAAAAAAAATTTAGAAGTAAAACTGTGTGTAAAAGAAATTAAAATTTCTATAGAATTTATAGAAGGTAAAAAATGATAATATGACCGTTACTATTTTCAAATATCATATCCTTGTTGAAATATTTGGAATATTTTATTAATATTAAATAATATTATAATAGGTTTCACAAATTAAATTTTAGTTCATTTGGATGCCATGTCAGCTCTCCTATAATGCAAATTCCTTATTACTAACGTAAGCTATAAAGAATTTTGGTTTAACAACCTTGCGTTAAAGTTGCTCTTATCAAATTCAGATTCTATCAATGAAGACTTTTGTGTCACTATTTTGCTCACTGGGTAAGCGAGACCTCCTAGTTGGCATTTAATGGTTGGTCGATTGGACCATTTAATGTCATGTTTTGTTAAAATAAAAAATGGCTTGCTGACTGGATCATTAAAGAATGAACTCAGAAATCAACTCTTTTTATTTATTTCCTGTGAAAAATTAGGGCTTAGAATTGAGAATTTCATCCAAAATAGCAAGCTGAGAAGACGAGCACGGACGGAGAAGACGAAGGAACAGTGAAGCGAGGTCAAGACGTAGATGAAATATCACAGGTTAATGTGGTTTACTATCACTCTTACTTGTTTTGAAATTAGGTGTGTATATGGATTGGGTTGGACCGGTTTTGGCTTAACCTTACCCAATCCGTTCAAACTTCAATGGGTTGGATTCATCGTCTAATCTGCAATTTCATTGTCAAAACTGACTCGAACCAACTTGATCTTACCGGATCAGAAAAGGATCAACAGCCAGCACAAATCGTGAGCTCCTTCGTTCGTCGGTGGTGGAGAAGAGGAGGGGGTGTACCTGCAAGAACTCCAATGCCAAAGTAAGTTTTAGCAAGAGAGAAAGTAAGTACAAAGAAAATGTGTAGAAATTAGAATACTTGACCCTCTAGTGAAAGATGGTTTTTATAATGTGCCTCCAGCGTAGGGCCGACAGTTACTTTGCATTAGGTTGGATTGCAAGACCCAAAACGAGTAACTACCAGGGCTTACGTGGCGTAGGGAAGACCAACACATGATCTTCGCCCTGCATCAACTGTCATGTGATCTTCGGAAGGTGGGTTGACCAGCTCTTTCGGAAGTGGGTAGTTGTCTAATGACGTGTCCTTGCGTGGGGGGCAAGTGGAGTCCGTGGAGGAGACGTGTGAGAGGTCTTCGGGCGTGTAGGTGGGATGGACCTCAATTGGGCCCTCCTTGACGAGGACTTGGGTTGGGCCATGTCCAACACTGGGCCAACCTTAGGCCCAATCCAGAACAGGAACCCACAAGTCGTTGCTCCGAGGCAGACGAGTAATGACTTAAGAGCCAGTTCGAACGCCGAGGACCCGTCCGGAGGAGCGTCAGTCTGTCTAGAACACCGAGCTGAGGGCGATGCGTGTGGCCAGAAGTAAGAGATGCTCGACAAGACAGGAGTTCGCGGGGAGGTCTATCCGTCAGCCGTACTACTGGCCCTTCTTCCCCCTCTGGGTATTGCCCCCGTTTGGTGCTCTGGCCGACGATATGGCGGAGATAGAAAGAGAACGGGCATGCTTGTTCTCAGGCACGAGGGGAAGCTGAGAGGACACGCATGGTGTCTTCTAGCACCACGTGTCACATGTAATTAATGCCTAGGGCGGCTATGCATAAGAGCACTTGAGTTCCTAGTGTTGCCTCGCTTCCCGTGCTAGGATTATAAATAAGAGGAAAGCTCCCATTATTTTCACGCTTCCTCTTCATCTCCATCAGAATTCTCTCCAAGTCTCTTCAAGTTCTTCAGATCGCGTTTGTTGTCACCGTCAACCACTCTCTGTCATCCAGATATTCTTTCTTCAAGTAAGTTTTCATATCCTATCTCCATCGTTATGAATTTACCGGTGATTTTCTGGGGAGCACGCAGGATTTAGGGGGGACGTTTGAATTTTTCGGCGACTTTCATGAAGTTTCTGGCAGAACTATGAGTTTTTCGGCCGTGCTCATGAAGTTTCCAGTCAAGACGCCGGGAAGTTCATGAGGATCCTGGGAACTTCATGAAGTTTTCGATGAAGGTCTCGAGGACCCGCGATGAAGGTCTCGGGGAACTGGGATGAAGGCCTCGGGGAGCATTGCTCCTCACAAGCGTGCAGATATTGCGGGGAGGTCTCTCTCGAGGGGCTTTAACTTGTAATTTTTTGAACATGGGTTTTCCCGACATAATGCATTGTGTTCTGTCTTTTGGTATGTTTATATTTTGTGTGTGCTGCTTATATGCCGAACACGTGTTTTATATTTATGTGTTTTTGTTTGAGTATTTGGGACTTTGCTCGACATTATTGGTCCTCGACAGTGTAGGGAACTAGCCGAGTGGTCGGAGTCGATTTCCGATCTTCGACGAAGCTAAGAGCTCGATCGAGGTCTTTGCTCCGAGGCGTAAATTTCCCATCGTGAGCTGAGCATTCTGCCTAGTTGGTACGACAAGGGTGGAGCTCGGTGGAGGTGTCTCCGTCGGATCAAGAGTTCGCTCGCACACACAAGAGCAAACCCTTGTCTTCTTGTCTCGAGTTTAAGAGTCGCGCTTGTACCTTAGTGCGTCCATGTGGTCACGACGCGAATAGGTCGCGGGCAGTGTTTAACTGCAGTACTATTTAATTTTTGCAGCGTTCCATGGTCGAGCAAGTTCCTCCCCGTGCAGGTTTTCGAGGTAGTAGGCTCCGATCCCCGTTTCCACACGGACGCGATAGGGGCCTCCTAGTTCGTGGTGAGCTTGCCTTCGCACGAATATTTCTGGTTCCTTCGTAGGACTATGGTGCCCACCTGAAATTCGCGCTTGATGACTTTGTTGTCATGGTGCAAAGTTATCTTTTGTTTGAGCGAGGCTTCGCGGAGTGATACCCCCGACCGGATCTCTTCGACTAGGTCAAGTTCTTCCCTTAGGGCCTCATCGTTGGTCTCCTCGTCGAGAGGGAACTCAGTCCTCTTTAAGGGTTCTCTTATTTCTATCAGAATCACTGCCTCGGTTCCGTAGGTCAGTCAGAACGAAGTTTCCCTTGTGGTCGAGTGTGGGGTCATTTTGTAGGCCCAGAGTACGATGTGCAACTCCTCGACCCACCTTTTCTTGGCGTCGCCCAATCTTCATTTCAGCCCTCGTAGGATCAC